CAGATCCTGCACCTGTGTGTCCTGATTCTCCACTGCAGAAAGGTCAGTCAAAACTTGTTTTCCTCATAGTTTTACAATGTCACAGGATCTTGTATTTTTGTCTTTTACAATGGCCCCAAAATGTATTTGGACACTTTTCAGGTCACATATCGAAGGGCACGTCCCTTTTATACAAGGATGGTTTAAATGTCCAAAAATGACACTTTTGCACTATTAATTAGTGGATTGATTTGTAGTTCATCTCTGAGTTTCCTACTTGGATTTTCATCTGTTTTTTTGAATGAGGTTAAGGAGTGGCAGTCAAAGCCAGACTTTCCCATTGACTGTATATTATTTTTGGCCCGTGGACGTGTCTTGAGCGGGCTGAACATTTTGTTAGGTCACACATGTAGCTTGTTAGACAACAGCTGTTGGATTTGTTTGCTTAGCTTGTCTTTATTGGCTATTGGCTGAAAACACATTCCAAGGTGAAACAATAAATATACATTGAAACTTTGCATTATGTATTGTATATTGAAATAATATGCTCTTAAATGATCAATGTCACTTTAAGCGCTCACTCTGATTTCCTCTTTTCAGCAGTGAAACGCTCCACAGCCAAAGGTGAAATTACCAACAAAAACAACCTCTGGATGAAGAAAATCCGATCCAGTAAGTATCATTCAGTCTCCCACGAATAAAACCAACAATATGGAAACCTTCAAAGACACGGCAGAAGTGTTTTTCCTTCCCATTGAGCCTGTGTTGTCAGCTACGATCTTAATTCTAGGTTGAGTTTCTATGCAGGCCGGAGTTGTTTAACTGCTCAAGGTTGATAAAGAGCTCAAAATAATGAGTCTCTCTGTGTCTCAACTGAACATGCTGAATGATTCAGCCTTGCTTATTGGAGTGTCTGTGATGTTAGTTGCCACACATAACTAATCTGAATTAATTTGTTAATCCTGACTGGATTCATATCAAGCGTCATACTGTACACGATCTATTTACAAAAGCTAATGCAGATTTTGGTCACCTGAGCACATGTGCTTTATTATTAGAGCTCAGTTTCCTGGTATTTTGCAGTGAAAGCAAAACTCTAAAGCAACTTTTCCAAAGGCTATGCATTATATACATTAGAATTCAAAGGCAGACTACTGTGTCTTTTGTTGGGTGCTGGTCATATCCTCCCTCTTCACCAGAGGGCGCTGCTGGTCTGTTTCACAGCTATTGTTTGAGATCATACAAAAGCGATTAGTACAGGCAAACATTTCAGTTTTTTTCAGCAAAATTTAATTGTTTTGCCTACAGTTAATTCCAGATCCTTATTGTAGTTATTAGCACAATTTAGCCATCGTTCACCATGTCAGACTCCTTGCAATTATAACTTGGCCAATATTATATTATAATTCCAAGTGAAACTAACCAGAGTGAATACTGAATTTCACTATTTTAGTTTCTAAATTGAAAAGGTTATTGATGTATTATTATTTGTTCAATCATATAATTATTATTCATGTGTTTATTTTCTATTTTTATTTTATTTTTATTTTATTTTTTTATTCATTAGATCTGTGATCACTTATCAAAGCCCTTTGTGGCATCATTTCCTCACTCAGCTCTGCCCCTCGTCCTGATTAAGAAATTTCACCGTGGAAAACCAGA